TACCTCTCCTTAAGAAGGAGCCCTCATGTCCCTTTGACAACTACAGGTTTATTAGTACAACCTCATTTATTTGTAGGTTGTTTGAGAAGGTCCTTAAGAATCACATGATTGGACACTTGGAGCTGAATGGAATAATACCACCAGTCAGCACGGATTCGTCCCGGTTGGATCGGTTGAGACGAATCTCCTTGAATGTATCAATAACTGGAGGTGTTTACCTTGACGATGAGAAAGCTTGTGACATAGTTTTTTTGACTTTTCCAAGGCGTTCGATAAGTGGATCACGCTGAACTTTTGTATGAATGGCATCAGCTTAAATTTCATCCCTTAGTCTGTCGTTGGTTGGATAACTTTCTCCCTTTGAGCACGTTTCAAGTCCAAGTTGGGTCTTCTTTTTCCAAGGTCGTGAGTGGTACAAGTGGAGTGCCCCAATGTGGTGTTTTATCACCTTTTCTTTCAGCTATGTACATATTCAGAAAACTGTTCAAATGAGAAGGTGGTGCTTCCAACAGTACTCTTAATGCCTATCACCTTGGTGATCATGTCCTGGCAGAGGTCCCTACGTAAAAACCTAGGCGTCGCTTTGATAACAAGCTTAGATTCACTGATCGACACTCCGACCAAATAGAAATACCCAAAGGTTGTCGATTGCTTCAGCGAGCCCAGATTTTCCGGTCTCGAACAAAATTGATAGTGTAGCGCCTGCTGTTCTTACCACTTAAAAATCTATCAGCCAGGGGAAACAGGCAAATATTCAATGTCTCTCTTGCCCAAAAGAAGGCCTGCACAGCGTTAAATGCCCGGAGACCTTGTGGGATCACCACCTCAATCCCACACTCGAGAAGCATTCCTCCCAGGACTTCTCTCTATGCCCGCTTTTACTTAAAATTTCCCCCAGACAAGTGTAAGTCACAAAGACTACGACAAATAAGCAGAGGAGCACCAACTTCTTCAATATCTTTTTAATGGACTGTTACAAAACGACCTCCGTTGCACCCTATTCACAACGGCAGCGTATGTCACGCTGCTCTACTGGTGGAACACACTTAGCTTGAGAGGGAGCACAGAAAGGTTCTTATTTGAAAGCAACAAAATAACTTGACAAGGGTCACAGGCCAGTTACAAAAGCTGATATATTCAGCAAGTTGAAAGGTTTCTATGTGGATCTCATTTCTAATCGGACAATTACTGCTCCTTAGGGCCTTCGAAAATTGCGTATGGAACCCATCTTTCAGGGACCATTGCAGGCAATTGGGAAAAGTTTCAACCAGTATTAAACACATTTCGGCAGAGCCTCATTGGTAACGTTATCGCCATGCGCGAAGCTGTGGAATGCTCTCATGGAAGGTCACCTTTCCCAGTTGGCACCGTATATGAGGCACTTTTGCTCAAGTATGTACGCTTTTTGTATAATTATGTACAGGGTGCGTCATAAATATGGTAACACTTTACGTACGTTCGTAATTTTGTTGTTTGAAGGATTTTTTCAAAGCTGCACCTCCCCTCATGTTTATGATATACCTTAGCCCACATACCTACTTTGGTACTCTCGATTCGTCAGATTTTGAGAAACCGTGGAGCCTCGCAGACATCCATCGACCATTCCATCTTTGCACGCATTTGTTGAGTCCTTTTCCGGGTTCTTCCCTCGTTTCAACATTTCCTATATGACAGTCTCATGAATCGCGTTGCGTAGGCAGGTAAACAAAAACCTCTTACGATAGTCTTGTCTCAAATACGACCATTTCCCGAATCCAGTTGCTTGTGAAAGAACACACTGCGGAACCTGCAGAAACACAAGAAAATGACTGCTGATTTGTTTGAATGTTCTAATCCGATGGGAAGAGTCTACCTAGAGTAAATACATTTGTATCCAAATAAGATTCGAATGCTCTATAAGCATCTTGTATTGTATTCTGGTCTACCAGAACCGGCGTATTCTGGTCATATGATCAGACTTTGAATTGTCCCAAAGAAAAACGGCATAGACAGAGAGTGTTGAGGGTTCCAAACTAGCTTCGTCGACGCACTCACAACAGATATGCCGCGTTGTGACGGTCTCGGCGAAGCTGCACCATTCATAGTCAACTTTGGAGTCGATAATGAGCACATTTATGTGGAATACATTCACAGCGCACAGACTACGACTCAACTATACGAAAGTTGCAGTCATAGGTATTCCTCTTATTTCTCAAGGAAACAGTATTTCTGTTATGGGCTGAGCCGTCAAAGCCAATAACGCGTTGAATAGAAAGCAGTTATTACCGTTTTTTATCTACTGTCGCCAGCTCTTTACGCTGTTACGTCAAGTGGTGCCTCGTTTGAATACTCCTTCAATACTGCTTCTCCTGTCATAAGCTCGTGCAACCCCTTTTAACTATTTTCTAAAGCATTATAATTCATGGTACACATCATATCTTCTATCACCTTCATTTGAGGTAGATACCTCACATTCAGAATCATCGTGAACTATGCCCCCAAAAGTGTACGGAACACCCTGGCCGATGTCAAAGCCTATAAATGGAGAGGTTGTGAAATGATCTTTTAACACATTGCGTACCGAGTGCATCACATGGTGATGCACTCATATACTTGCCCGCGTGGCCACGTGCATCACATGGTGATGCATGAAATTCACACTTAAATTCCCACTTTCTTTATATAGCAATACTAGTCAAAATTTGCAATCAAATGTTTTCGAACATGCTGAACAACATAACTGCTTGGGACTCCAACTGCTGAGGAAATATGGAGCGTCCATACTTCATAATATTAACCATGAATCTAACGCTACTAACAAGTTTTGTTGTAACATTTCCTCTCTACTCTTATAAACTATGAACTTATGAACCATCAGGAGCTCACGAAAAATCTTCATTGTCTGCTTCTTCATCGCTATCAATAAGCAGTTGCGCGAATGAGTTCTCTAGAGATTCCATCTGAAATACTACCAGAATCGGTAACAGAACTTCATTGGACTTAAAGTTGCTCTCCTGGAATGAGATGAGGGGACACAAAGTCGATTTGTGAAGAGACGCCTGGTCGGAACA